TCAATGATCATGGTCATGGTCAGCTGCCGCGTTGTATCCGTCGGGCCCCAGGGCCAGTAGCAATAACCGTAGTAGCAACCGGGACTTCGCCGGAGAGGGGACAGAGAGAGCGAAAGGCTGGGAGGTGTGCCTGTTCTGTTCCTGTGGTAGTTTATTTATGACTCTGGTTTCGTACTCTGGTTTATCCGTTTATGCGAGTGTGTGTATGCACTCAGCCGTCTAGCAGCCTGTTTAGACTCTGGATAGTACTTATGCAATGGGATGTTGTTGTAGTGCTTGTTTTGTTTGTTTTAAAATCCTCTTCATTTTGCAGTTAATAACTGTAGGTTTTATTATTTTCGCAATCGCAAACTCTAATCCATGTTCGGTCAAGCGCTTGTGCAACCGCGCAACATCGCTTCCCCAGCCGTCCATTGCCACACATTACCTGGAGTTAGGGGGTGCGTCCTCCCCGACTCTAGAACTCTAACCGTAGTTGTAATACCCTAGTTTTTATAAAATTACTATGGTTTTCTTCGATTTTCAATAATTTTATGTCTTAGTAGAAATTCGGTGTACAATTGGAAGTGTCTGGTGGGGTTTCTTGCGGAATAACAGAACAAAGAGACCATCCCCTCAGCAAAGAACGTCTCATCCAAACCACTCCTTTAAGTGACCCTAAAGCTATTACACTAGGCTAACCCAGCCATTGTCAATAATGAGGAAGCAAAGCGCCAGCGATCGTGGTGTGTGAAGGCGGCAGTTGGGTAGGTGTGGCTCGTTGGCCACGGGTTAGTGAAGGGCGGGTTCGACTGGTAGACAGTGTGGCAAGTCGGCAGCCGCGGTCGGTGGTGGACGAGTGACCGTGCGATCGGTCTCAAGCAATAACTCTACCCTTCCACAAATTAGGAAGGGTACTTGAGTAGCACTCAAAACTCATTTAGGGAAGAAATAAGCTGAGTATAGTCTTCTTCTCTTAGGTCGGGTCTTTTTCCCCAATACAAATGGATTATGAAGTGAAGCATAGTAATTTACCCCTCAAGACACAAAACAAGCTCGAGTGATGAATCCACAAGCGTAGAGTATGTATAGAGTGTTCTTATGTCTTCCTCCAATCCAAACGTTCCGACATGGTGATCGCCATTGCCGCTTTTTAGTAGTAGCACCAGTCACAACGCACTGAGACCTTGTAACATTTCAATCATAATAACCCTTGCTCTGTCATTTTCGTCACCCGCCACATGCCAGTGACACTGATGACCTAAGTTAGAGGAACTGATTGTCACCACCAGTCCCTTGCAAGTTTGGCACAGGGATTTAAGGATTTTACAAGCTGTCACTCGCCACATCCCATATTGAGGTCCTTTTTTGAATTCCACAAAATGCCTTTTTTGTTTTTGAAAAGAAAACTCTTAGTGGAGACTATGTTTGCTTGTTCACAACAAACAATTGTCTCATCTGTACCAAACCAATCCAATGGCCGGCATCTTATTCTTGTAGTAGCGGAAAATGATGGAAAGCTACTAGTATCATTGTTCACATTGACTATTCTTCAACTACAATAATACTATAACAGGCACATATAAATATGTGTAAATATACAAGCAAACATTATCTTATAATAAACTACCACTGAACCAAACAAAAAGCCATATACTCCATTGAGGGTCCACTTTTGGAACGCATGATTGAAGAAATACAAGAATATAAAAAAAATGAATAATACATATGCAAAACATAATTTTGTAGTAATAAGTGTTTGGATAAACTGTAGTAAAAACACATGAAACAAAACAATGAGGTTAGACTAGAGGTTTTTCCTTGGTTTTTCTCTGAAACCAAACATAAAGGAAACGACAGTATGGACGTCCGCATCCGGACGTCCGCGCCGCCCGACCCCACGCGGGGAATGCTCGTGCCTCCTCCGCTTGCCCCGCAGGACGTCTACGCCCGCTCGGCGGCGCCCCAACGGCTTCGGCAGGTGGGTCTCATTACAACATGTGCAACACTAGATCTACTTTTGCAACATGAAACACTTGCAATATGCGTCCAAAAACAATTGAAACACTTGAAATATACGTCTGAAACACTTGCAAAAACACCTAAAAACACTTGAAAAGCCACTGTAAACATATGCAACATCCAGATCTACTTCTGCAACATCCAGATAAACACACTTGCAACATACGTCTAAAACACCTGAAACACTTGAAACATATGCATGCAACATCAAATATACGCTTGCAACATGCGTATATAGCTATTGCAACATACGCAACATTCAGATGAAACACCTGAAAACACTTGAAACACAGCATCTCCAGCGGCCATGGCCTACCTGGTGGGGAATTGTGGTAGCCAGCAAGCAGCGCTCAGGTGCAGTTCGTCCATATGAGAGAGTGAGAGAGGAGGTCGTCAGCAGCGCAACATACAGTGCAGGTGCTCCGGGTAGTGCTCGAACCTATCGTCTATGTCCTCGGCCACAAGCATGCGGTTCATGTAGCCCAGCACGATGTCCGAGAACGCCTCTGAATCGTCCGACTACCCCACTGAGGGCGGTGCGACGGACGCATCCTGCGGCGCGGCGGCGACGACATGCGGTTCGTGCGGGCGGGCGGAACCACATTAGTAGGTGTGACATTCAGATAGCTGTCGCCACCGCCGCCTGCAGTCAAAGCAATCCCATCTAGCGCACAATAGCGACTCGTGCCTGGTGATTGTGAGAGGAGTATGGGGATGGCTGAGCTCATTGTGTCGTTCGCCTAGTGAGGATAAGAAGAGTGAGGAGTTTGAAGAAGAGATATAGGAGGAGGTAGTGTCGGTGGAGGGTGAGAAATAAGTGGATAATAATAATTAATTAGGGAATAAGTGGTTGTGCATGGGACACATGAGCCTGGAGAGTTTGTCCTATATTTTTTGGAGCGTCGGAGGCTTGGCTTAGAACGTTTCTGTAAAGGAAATTCTCCTATGTTATTTCCGCAAGTGATTTCTACGAAACAAAGGATGCTACAATCACTCAATCTACAAGGACGTGAATTCTAAGTTTTTCCAAGGACGTGAATTCTAAGTTTTTCCTTCTATCCAAATTAAGGGGACTAGGATTGTAAGATGCATAGAAAGACAAGGACACTAGTAGATATTTGTTGATTTCAACTCCAATTATTGGGTCCAGCGGGGAAAAAACGCTAATAGTACTAGTATTATATATAAGGTCACGTACAGCCCAAACAGGAACCAAACAAGACACGCATAGCACAAAACTCTACAATCTCTTGCCTCTCCTAGTTCCTCGGCCATGAAAGAATATAATTTTTTTACTGTCTTGACCATATGCCCTGGACAACGGAATGTTGTACAACCTCGAATCCTTTGATTAGTTTATCGTCTTCTCTCTCAGATACCTTTACTTGCTCCCATTCCATGTCCTCTTGATCTAGTTTCTCCCCTTACGATGCATAACTCCTGTCTAGAGGATCGAAGCATGTGTTTGGTTAGAAGTTTGAAGAGGATTGAAATGGGTTGGAATGTGTTGGATTTATTTTAGACGTGTTTGGTTAAAGGGCTGGGTGGGTTGGGTTGAATCCATGGAGGAATATACCTTCTAGATGTGGGTTCATTCAGTACCTTTAGATTAGAGAAATCATTTCGATCCAAATGGACATCGCCGCGCTTCTCCGTTCGTGAGCGCGAGTGCAAAGACTGCTTGGGGGCTTCGTTAGCGTGGATGCAAGACAAGGCAATGCGTGCTCAAGCACCTAGCATGGCGGCACAGGTAAGCTCTAGCACCTAGCCACGGTAGCGCGGGGCGAGCTCCTGCCCCCAGCCATGGTGGCACAAGGTGAGCTCCCAGCGGTCCTGGAGGAGCTCCTCTGTTGGAGCAGCGCGGGCATGGCCGTAGGGCGAGGCAGTGTTGGGAGGGGCGTCGTTGTTTCGTGCTCTACTCGATGGGAAGGCCCTCTACTGGAGGAGAAAGAACATGTAGGAGTGGCTGACAATGTGGGTTCCACGATGACAGCTAGACCCATGATGACCATCCTTCCCAACCTATTCAATCCCTCATGCAAAATAAGAAATTGGAAATAACTCTATCTCTTAAACCAAACACAAAACGGGTCCAATCCAACTGTAAAAAATGGGACAGGTCTAATCCAATCCATATCATCCCACAATCAAACACATGCTAAAAGTTTCTTATTAGTGCCTCTTTTGGACATGGATTGTACATGTCCTAAGTAGCTGCTATAACAAATTTAGAGCATATAGTTCGACCTTGTTTTATGAAATTATAATCAAGTAATTCTATGACAACATTTTCTCAAACAGTGCTAAAAGAATCTAATATATAGATGTGTCATTCAACATGAGGGACAAGAGTAGTATTACAAGGTTGTCTTACATGTTCTTATATTCTTAACAAACAATTGCCTCATCTGTACCAAACCAATCAAATGGTCGGTGTCTTGTATTCTTATAGTACCGAAAAAACATGGAATGCTAGTAGTAATAGTGTTCACATTGACTATTCTACAACTAGCAATAATAGGCGCATTTATATTTAAATATACAAGCACACATTAACCTTCAATAAATCTGTTGCTCAAGCAAACAAAATGCCACATACTCCATTAAGATTGTAAAATGCCTAGAAAGACAAGGATACTAGTAGATATTTATTGATTTCAACTTCAAATTATGAACAGTAATATTATTATAACTAGTTAGAACAAATTTAGAGCATATATGACGATCTTGGCTTACGAAACCATAATCAAGGAATTTCGTGACAACATTTTCTCAAGCAGCTAAAAGAATCCAATATATGGATATACCACTCAACACGAGTAACAAGAGTATAGTATTACAAGGTAATCATTTTCACGCACTTACAACACGATTGATTGCCACATTGAAACAACTCAAAATAGCAACCCAAAATCTCAAATAAAAATCATTTAAGGCTATACTCAACGAACAAATAACACTTGTAATTATGTTTTAGTGTCCTTAACGACTGTGTAGTTTTAAGCCGCTGGAGATGACTTCGGCGCCACCGCCTTGACGGCCTCGAACCTGGGTTCCTTGGCCTGGAACTTCTGCTTGGCGTACACATCCATGTAGTCGCCGAACACGTACTTGGGGTACGCCTCGCCGCCGCCGCTGGCCACCGCCGCCGGCGAGATGGTGGCCTCGTTGGCCGGGTTGTAGAAGGAGGCGATGGAGCGGCGGTTGCCGTCGCGCATGGGCAGCACGCGGTGCCACGCGCTGCGGTACCGCCCGTTGCTGAGCACCTCGATCTGGTCGCCCGTGTTGACGACGATGGCGCCCGCGAGCGGCTGCACGTCGGTCCACTGGCCGTCCTTGAGCACCTCCAGGCCGCCGACCCTGTCGTCCTGGAACAGCAGGATGACGCCGCCGGCGTCGGTGTGCGCGCGCAGGCCCGTGATGAGGTCCGGGCGCGGGCACGGCGGGTAGTGGCTGACCTTGGTGCGCCGAAGAAAGGCTCGTGCCGGCCGTCGCCGGAGAAGGCGGCCTTGATGCTGCCCCTGTCGAGGCCGAGGTTCTCGTCCATGGCCTCCATGACGCGCTCGGCCAGCTTCCGCAGCTCGGCGCGGTACTCGCGCATGGTCTCCTTGAACGCAGGCGGGTCGGACGGCCACTGGCAGCCGTCGTGGATGTAGAAGATGTCCTCCCAGTCCAGGTCGTCCACGGGCGCCACCTCCTCGCCGCGCCGCTCCGCGTCGACGAGCGCCTCCAGCGTGCGCACCGGCTCCGACGCCCTGAACCCGGCCTCCCGGAGGCGGTAGCTGTCGGAGCACACCTTCTTGACGCGCTCGAGAAGCTCCAGCGGGATGCCGTGGTTCACGAGCTGGAAGAACCCCCACTCCTCGCAGCCATTGGCGATCTGCGCCAGAGTCTCCGACCTCTCGGCGCCGTCCAGCTTGGAGAAGTCGATCACGGGAACCACCATGGCTGATGAATGAAATGAGCAGAAGAGAAAAGAAGACGACGACTATATATGTTCTCGATCTCTGTCTGGATCGGATCGAGAAAGCCTGCTCTGAAGTAGATCTTTAGGTGTTGCAACAACTATATACCTTCAATTCAGTGAAGGCTGGTTTGCATGCAGATCGTTGATCGGATGGCTTGAGGTCGGAGGCCATGGCTGTGGTTTTATAGGGTACCGAGTGTGCAAGTTTGAGCATGTGCCAAACGGGGAGAGACGAAGTTTCTAGGAGGGCAGCTAAGTCGCCAGCGGCACATTTGATTGGCAGTGGCAGCTCATGCTGGATACTGATACTGGATTCGGCAGGGTGGTGTCGTGACTTCTCCTAATGGGGACGAGTCTGTCCTTGTCTCTTGTCTGTCGTCTGGTAGGAGTACGACTAGACTCTCCCTACAGGCAAATATAAATATATATATGACTTGACTTGGAAAATGTTGCTCTATAGATGCAGAACCCAGTTTTCTCTGTATTGATACGGTAGATGTTTTTTTTTTCTTTAGAAAAACAACGGACAAGAAAATTGCCAGACATGTATCCATAAAGGACTACTAGGAGGAGGTCAGGAAAACTACTCCGACAGAGAATTTCCCATTGACATCCATACTTATAATCTCAGTCATCCATTTCTCTTGTGTGATATTCATAAAATTGATGGTTTTTTTTTCTCATCTACCCCTCGGAGCGAATCACAAGCAAATGAACGGGTATGGCAAATCTAGTGTGCATATTGCAAATCTGAGAAAATCCATGTCCTTCGTTAGCAAACACCATTGTCATTATTTTGAAAATATCCTCTTTCTACTACGAGAACACCATATCCCTCAGAAAAAAAAATCGTCACCTATTCTCGGATTGTGGATTGCAAGAAAATTACTCCCTCTGTTCTAAATTATAAGACGTTTTGATTTTTCTATGCATCAAAGCATAATGTATATTTAAGTGCATAGCAAAAGTCACAAATCTTGAAAAAACAAAACGTCTTATAATTTGGAACAGATGGAGTAGCTCATTCCTCTTTCAATCCAACAAGATTGTACCTATAATGCATATATCCATCACCCAGTTGTCCACTTTATTCCAATGTCTATATTGCTTCTTCACTCGATAAATAAATATGTCATCCAAATGCCGGTGCATTTTCCCATGCTTTCTCATACTCCCATATATTATTGCATCATCCAAGTGGAAAGAAGAATAATGCATATCGATGGTCCTTAATAGACTTGTCCAAAGATATTACCTAGGTCCTTTATCTACTAAAACTTTCTAAAAAATTCATATCCAGATCTCTAAACTTTTTCAGTTTAGTGCTAAGTCTACTCATACTCTTTCCCTTATCTCTTCTCTTTGTCCTCAGATCTGAGACAAGGATTTCCTAGAAGGCCTGTATCTCTCTCGCTTTTAATTAGGGTGGATCTCATGACTCGATTGTGTGAAGGTGAGTGAATGGGAAATGAGAGAGAGCGCTCAGCTTTATCAATAAAAACGGATATATACAAACATAAAATAGATATTCTTTTCTTTGTTGATTAGGTTCAAACACGGATAATGTCCGATGTGTCAGATATAGATATGAATAGATAGTTGGATACTAGCATTCAACAACATAACCATATTAGATATTCGTCTTTGATTATCCAAATTCAGATATAAGGTAGGTTATTCCAGTTAACCTATTCCAGTCGATCTTACACTCCCAATGACTTGGGCATGCTACATGCAGGAGCGGGCCTACTTTATTTAAGAGTATTCACTATTCAGTTGAATACTCATTGTTTTTTCAATAAATTTAATACATATAGTGTATACATGTATATGTATAAGAAAAAAAATAAAAATACAGCTAAAATAATAGGATAGTCATGAATTGAGCCAAAACAATAGCCTTCTTCTGGTCTCCCATCCATCCTGTCAGCCCAACAATGCAAATGGTCCAACTACTCCAACTCCCCATCCACAGTCCGCTCAGCATACCCCTCGGTGTGAGCGCGACTCCCATCCTCTTAGCGTGACGGTGCATCACTACTTTAGCAGTTTATCCACGTATCCCAATCTCCCCTTCTAACTCCTATTCTTGGGTTCCAAATCCTAGGTCTACCCGAGGCAATGGCGGATTAGCAGCTCTTCACTTGGCTAGCCTAGGCAGCTGCCAGGCCAAGCGCCTCCAGACAATGGCTGGTGGTTGTGTGGCTTGTTACGGGGCAACACTTTAGTGGTGAGGGCCACCGTCATGGTTGAACTGAACAAAGTTGTCGACGATAGCTCTACGCAGTAGTGCGGCACCGGGCCATACCACTGAGAAGTCTAGAGCATGTGATGCTTGCTTAAATATATTCTTGATAGGAATGTTGAAATCAGTCAAGCTTCGGTTTGATTCAAATAGATTGACATATATGAGTCAACATCAATATGGTCAAGCCAATTCATGATTCCTTATATCCTTTTCATTTTGGCTTGACACCCCTAACACTTACTTCAATATCTATCTTCTTACTTCGAGCTTGATCAAATCAATGCATAGTGATTTTCTAAATCTTTATCCATACAAGCAAAACAATGTAGAGACCATCTTATATCCATTATACATTGTCTCCTTTGTCATTTGACCTTTGCTTGGCATTTCCTCACTCATGCATTCTTGACTCATTCTTCAATACTTGATCAAAGTCAATCCACTATCAAACTCTTCTTATTCACACAAAGCAAGCCACCTATATGAGATCGTTTCATGTTTATCAACTCATGTCTCATTAGCCATTTGTTAAACACGCTTGCTTTACGTGATGTCATGATATCCCATAACATAGAAGCCATTTTATCAACTCCATTCGCATTGTTGTCTTCTGATTGAACTAAATTGTTTCCATAATCTTCTAACACAACAATACATAACTTTGGCCTTCATTTGAACACAACGTGGGATACCATCAAGTTTGCATTCTTGTTGAACCTTTGATACACTTCTCATTATACAATTTTCAAGTTTATGCTTACTCAATTTTCTATTCACACTTAATAAACTTGTTATACATTTAATGGTGTTATCATTCAATCCATCAAAACCCACTAAAGGGCTAGATGCATTTTCAGACAATCTCCGCTAGATAGGACATAGAAAAATTGCCCTTGGGGGCATATGCCCCCATGTGCTTGGACCATTGGATGCACCATGCACATGGGGCATGCCCTCAAGGGCAAAAACAACTTTGCCCACGAGGCACCCCATCCACGTGAAGTGTGGAACTATGGACTACATATTTGGTGATGCAGCCACAGTGTTCCAGAGATGCAAGATCCTCACGCGACTACCCCAGCGTGGTCAAGCAAACACTATCACGGCTCAAGGCCGGGATGCTGCTAACAAGACAAGGGGGTTTGTTTCCCAGTTCTGCACGTTGGCCACGGACAATGATCTTCTTCATGCAAACTTCATAGTCAACACATATCTTAGAAGGACCTGGAAGAAATATTCTAGAGTCATTTTCATGTAGTCTTTCATGTCTAATGTTGTTCATCCCGATGGTTGGCTGCCATGGAGTGGGACTACGACGCCCTTGGACACATTGTAATATGCCGAGTTCAATAACTGTGGGCCTGGAGCTAACATCTGTGGCCGGGTGCACTGGCCAGACGTCCACTTCATGCTAGGTCAGTGGTAGAACCAGCAACTTTAATTAAGGGGGCCGGGCAAACACGATGACACTTTATAAGTGTAATAAATATATACATAAATGTATGTCTCAACAATTTTATCAATGCTTTTATCTATGTAGTTAGTATTCATAAAAAACCACAATATTATGATAAAAGATGAGTAAAAATGGGAAAAATGTATTGTGCATTGAAATATTTATGAGGGTATTAAAAGTTACAGTTTGGGGAGGGGGGACCCCTACTAGCCCTTGGTTCCGCCACTGTGTGCTAGGTGCAGCTGAAGCTACACCAATTTCACCGTGAAGAATTTCATCGATGGAAACAATTGGCTACCTGGCACTAGAGTATCCATCACTCCAGGTCTTTAGCCTTTTAGCTTGTCTGATCATCCTATCATAGTCAAGTTGACAAGTCAAACGCAAGAATCAAGTCATGCCATGTAATGTCATGTGGTGTTCTTGCCACGTTTGTGTGTGTGTGTGAGGATCGATGTACTCAACCTTAGTTAGTAACTCATAATATGTTCTTTGCCAAGTATCGTTGTAACTATCCATAGCAACTACACGTGGAAGCATCTCCAATGGAAGCACCGGCCAATGTGGCTGCCCCCTACAACGCATGCCAAAACAGTTCTATGATGATCAATTTTTCGTCACAGTTCAAACCACTTCTATGACGAGTTGCTCGAATTCGTCATGCATGTACCAATGTGACTTGTCGCTTTTGACGAACGAATTTTAGTCATAAATTCGTCATACAACTAAAATTATGACGGATTTCACATCTTCAGTGACAAAAGTTGTTCGTCATGTATGTGCAGATTTCTACTAGTGCACTGAGCGGCAAACAATAGAATATGAGCAATCAAGCATGTCCAAATCTAATACTCTTAGTTTCTTATCAGTTTAAATTCCAATTGTGAACCAATATTCAATTGCCTTTACATTTACTGATATTTGATTCGTATTTGATTTTTAGTGTCAATCTCAAACATGAAGCTAGAGGAAGACAGTAGAATATTCTGATATGTTGAATCTAGGTCTTTATGTTAATCAATTCCAAAGTAAGCTCAGTACTATGAATATCGGTATATTTTGGCAACCGAAAACTTTTCACTTTTTTTTAAAAAAAACTAGAAATTAGCATTCTTAAAAAAACTATAAAATGATAAATATTTGTTGTTTACAATTCCCCCTCCGGTTGGCTTGTGTGGAACACCGGCGCCAGGCCTCCTCACAACCCCCTTCTCGCAGAAGCATGCATGAGACAGCATTGGTCCCAAGAGGGCGGCAACAGGGCTTCTTCCTTTT